CAAACTTCAGCATGGAATGGCTGTAAAATAATAATCGGACATGGTAGAAAATGCTTACCAAAGTTGGTGCAGGCAGGTATGGGGGGTGTAGGTGAAGTGAGGGCACAGAGACTTAAAAGGGAGAAGCTGCAATGCAGTGTGGGCTCTATATGGGAGATAGATGGTTGGTAACTAAGGAACTCTATGGTCACAGCATACACATTCATTATAGAACAACAGCATTGTAATAGCAATATAAACAATAGTTATGATCCAGGAGAAGCTTGCTTGAAAAATCTCTTTTCATGTTGTGAGTTCTGCCTTCCTGCTGACCATCTCTTTTCACATATTTCTGGATTCCCTGCATGATTTCCAGCTTATCATTTGCTGTTTAATTCCAGTTTCCAAGGACTACATATCCTGTGGTACCTTTCTGCCTGCAAGCAGTGACTCCTGTACTGACTCCCTCCTGAAACTCCTCCTCTCAGATCCTCTGTAGTTCAGAAGGCAGGCTCTGTGAAAAGTGTGACACATCAGTGCATGTTCACAGAGCATAGCAAATATGTGTCACAGAATTCAATGATGTAAATGTGTGGGAATTGTCAAAAGTACGTTTAGAAATTTCAAGATCTTTCAGAGTAATAGGAGTAGGCTGACTATGTGATTTTATATTTTGGCCACAGATCAGGGGTGGACTGACAACTCATGGGGCCCCCGGGCAATAGGGGATCATGGGGCCCCTGTGTCCTTGCCCACACTCAAAAAAGCCTATAAAAAAGATACCAGGGGCATTTCATGGGGCCCCCTACTGACCCCGGGCCCTCAGGCAGTGCCTGAGTGCTCGAATGGTCAGTCTGCCCCTGCCACAGATACACTTTAAGGAACACACATATCTCTCCCTGTGTTGAGGACCTACCTAGTCATGCAGAACAGCCCACCACCCTTGATGCTGGCTCCATTTCTCTGAGCTCCACAGATTATACAGATCAGATGACCAGAGCTCTGTACACAGTGCAGAGCAACTTGTGTGTGTTAAAGCTGTCCCTCCCATCCCTGGCTTGATAGGAGGTGTTCCATACAATTATTGAATCACAGGCAAGGTGACAGTTCTGCCGAGGATGGTGGCAGAAAAATATGCATGGGGGTCCCCTTTTCCCCAGAATTCATACCAGGCCCTTCAGGTCTGGAGGGACCACAATTCAAAAGATTGGTGTTTTAGATACAACATAGCAAAATGTGTTATAATGCATAGGTGCAATATCAATAAGATGGTTAATTAATTTGCCTGCAAGAAAAAAAATAAAAAAAATAAAAAAGGAATGGTGAAAATTCAGTACAAGAACATCTTCTAAGCAAACAGTATGCATCATGCAGGTTGCTGTCTAGGAATTTCTAGAGCAACCTGTAGTGTATACAAAAGATAATGTGTGATAATTATTAATAGTGTTGTCAGACCTGTCTGTGCAGCAACAGGTGGAGTTACATAACTTGAACCAGCTTAACCAACTTAATTAAAATGTGTCACCTATGATAAAAAAAAAATCTTTCCTTTTCCAATCTACAGCCACTGTTATTTTCTGTAATATTTCAGTATGCAATATGGCAACCCAGAGGCCATCTGTACACATTTGGTGTACAGGACATCCCCAAAAAAGTAATGTGTGTGATTGGCTGACTGATTTTTCTAAAAGCCTGCACTAAGATATAAGTAACATTTTAGGCATCTTCTGCAATAGAAATTATATTATTGGTAAGATACTCCTTAAGGGTTAATTACTTCTAAAGGGATGCAAACACTGCAACTTTCCTCATTAAAACTCTGCAGGTGGATCAGCTAATTAAAATGAACACAGACACTGTCATTCAGGAATCAGTCTTCCGGGGACATAGTTGAACAAACAAAACAGAAACAGGTAGGGCTCTGCTACAAAGTTGTTAAAATCCTTGCAGCGTACATCGATCGACCAGAGGGGATTGCTTTTTTTTCTTTTAACAAAAGTGGAGTTTCCCTTTAGATATGTATTAAATCCAAACTAAAATGTATTATATTGCAGCTTACCAACCTTAAATGTAGTGGCTGCATTCATTTTTTTTTTTTATTGTTCTTAACGTGCGATCTTAGGGTGTCCCCACACCACTGGAAGAGCAGTGGAGACACCCTGGGAAAGCAGCATTGTCAGTCTGGGGAGAGGGTGGGATTAGATGCACTAGCAGACTGAGATGTACTTAATAATCAAATTACAGCAGAACTCCAGCTAACACTTTTAAGCAATTACAGCAAACAGTTTTTATTGGAATAAAGGTATTACATAAATTGGGGTAAAGGTTTTACATAAATAGATAAAATCTGATAATTGTAAGCACCCCTGTCAATGTTAAACAGTTTGTCTCAAAATTCCTTTCATTGGACAGTTTGGTCTCTTAAAGGAAATTCAAAAATACCATACTTACTAGCTGGAAAACTAAGAGAAAAAGAAGTCGGAAAACTAAGAGAAAAAGAAGTCTAAAACAGGAAACTAATAGAGACAACATACCTTGGATTGGTAAGCTGCAATGCACGGTCTGCATTCCTTTAGATATGATTTATTTATTTTTGTTGAAGGGGATTTTGTTGAAGGGGTTTTTGCTGAAGGGGATTTCTGAGGGTGTTCCTTACACCATCTGTGTACAGAACACCCTCTGTACCTCCAGGCTGCTATATTGCATTGAAGGTTGAAAAGGAAAGGTAATTTTTAATAACATTCAATTACAATATGACTTGTGTCACAATTGTATATGCCACAATAAATTTTTTTTTTTTTGCTATTTTTTTCCCATAAAAGTGGAGTTACCCATCAATGCTGCTTTAATCTTTCCTGCTTCCTGCACCGCCAAACACCACTCTACAAAATATGTACTTTCTTGTTTACAGGTAATAGGTTTTCGGACGCATTCAGTAAGGTGACAGCGTTACTTTAAGGCAGCTTTTAAGTGCACAAAGGGACCTGACTCAGGCAAATGGCCCGTTCCCACTGCCTGCACATTAACATAGTTGCCAACATTTCCAAAAAATGTTTAGGGACGCTTTTTTTTTCTGTATGTCCAGAAAGGTGGTGTGGGTGGAGTATCATTTTCATTGGGATGGGACATTCAATTGTGGGTGTGGCTCAACATCAATTGCAAAAAAGCTGCAAAAATGTGCGTGGTTTCAATTAAGTTAACTATTTGGGCGTGTCTTTAAAAGGGGATTACTTGTGGTTAAATAGAGTCTGAGATTACTTACATAGTGGAGAATGTGGTAATGTTAAATAGGGAATATACTGTAGGTAGGGCAGTGTACTGAGGTTCAGTAGTATGTAGGGCAGTGTACAGAGGTCAGCAGTATGTACGGTAATGTACCAGTGGTGTAGTTTTTGATTTTGTGCTGCCCTAGACAAGACTAAAATCAGGCGCCCCCCCCATCAAAAGTTGTCCCACCCCTTCTTGCCAACCTTTTAAGATCCACCCCTCCATGTTTCCATCACTGCACTCCCTCCTGAGCACTTTTTCCACCTCTGCACCCCGCCACCTGTTCCACCTCTGCACCCCCTCCTGAGCACCTTTTCCACCTCTGCCCCTCCCCTCCTGTTCCACCTCTGCACCCCCTCCTGAGCACCTGTTACACTACTGCACCCCCTCACATACTACATACACACTTACTAGATTCACATATACTACATTCACATATACTACATATACACATAATACATTCACACTGACACAGTTTTGTCAGTGGTCCAAAATGTACTCCAGATCGTTGTAGGCAGGTTCCGATCTGCAACAACAGGAAACGATTGGTTGGAGGTCATTGCTGCCAAAGGAGGTCCACCAGTTAATAGGTCCAAAGGTTCACATATACACTATATTGCCAAAAGTATTGGGACGCCTGCCTTTACACGCACATGAAAAAAAACTTGGCGGAGGGAGCATCAATGCTTTGCTGCATCCATTTTGCAGGAAAAGTCTTAGACAATGACCCAAAGCCGTATGGGTTCAATATTGCGATTCACAGTTGGAAGAAGAGTGGTCCAAAATTACCAGATCGTTGCAGGTCTATACTACAGCTTTAACTCTTCAAAGGGGTCAACCAGGTTGTCTACAACTTTTTTTAGGAATGTGTCTATGGGAATGTTTGATTGTTGTGACTTAGATGACGTTTAGAGCACATTTTTAAGCCCAATTCATGCAAAACTCCACGTAATATCCCAAGGGGTTCACATACTTTTTCTTGCAACTGTATATTGCCAAAAGTATTGGGACGCCTGCCTTTACGCGCACATGAACTTAATGGCATCCCAGTCTTTCGTAGGGTTCAATATTCAAGAAGCTTTAACATTTGTGATGTGGTCAGGCACTTGATGTCAGACACTGATGTCAAAGCCTGGCTCACAGTCTCTGCTCTAATTCATCCCAAAGGTGTTCTATCAGGTTGAGGCCAGAACTCTGTGCAGGCCAGTCAACTTCCTCCACCCCAAATTTGCTCATCCATGTCTTTATGGACCTTGCTTTGGGCACTGGTGCGCAGTCATGTTGGAACAGGAAGGGGCCATCCCCAAACTGTCCCCACAAAGTTGGGAGCATGAAATTGTCCAAAATGTCTTGGTATGCTGACGTCTTAAGAGTTCCCTTCACTGAAACTAAGGGGCCAAACCCCTGAAAAAACAACCCCAGACCATAATCCCCCCTCCACCAAACTTTACACTTGGCACAATGCAGTCAGGCAAGTACCGCTCTCCTGGCAACTGCCAAACCCATACATGTCCATCGGATTGCCAGACAGAGAAGTGTGATTGGTCACTCCAGAGAATACATCTCCACTGTTCTAGAGTCCAGTGATGGAGTGCTTTACACCACGGCATCCAACGCTTTGCATTGCACTTGGTGATGTAAGGCTTGGATGCAGCTGCTCGGCCATGGAACCACATTCCATGAAGCTCTCTATGCACTGTTGTTGTGCTAATCTGAAGGACACACAAAGTTTGGAGGTCTTTAGCTATTAACTCTGCAGACAGTTGTTGACTTCTGCACACTAAGCGCTTCAGCATATGCTGATCCCGCTCTGTCATTTTACATGGCCTACCACTTCATAGCTGAGTTGCTGCTGTTCCCAGTTGCTTCCACTTTGTTATAATACCACAAACAGTTGACCGTGGAATATTTAGTTGCAAGGAAATGTAACAGATTGACTTATTGCACAGGTGGCAAACTATCACAGTACCACAATTGAAATTACTGAGCTGCTGAGAGCGACTCATTCTTTCACAAATGTTTGTAGAAGCAGTCTGCATAAGTAAGTGTTTGATTTTATACACCTGTGGCCATGGAGGCGATTGGAACACCTGAATCCAATGATTTGGAGGGGTGTCCCAATACATTTGGCAATATAGTGTATATTACCTATACATATATTACATTCACATATACTACATATACTACATACACACTACATATACTACTTACACACATACTACATACACACATACTACATATACATACTGTATACTACATCTACTACTTATATTATCAACATTTAAAACAACAGCAGCTTGCAGAAAACCTGATAGAAGGGCTCTAAAATAAATTCATATATATTCACTGCAGCACTTTATAGGTTACATGACATGCACATATCTCACATATATACATTTTTCCCCCTCTATAGGGCTCTGAATTTGGTTGGTGGGGGGCTCAGCTGGATAGGGGCCACTCCATGTACAGATGTCATTTCAGGTCTTCCGCTGTACACAGACACCTGTTGGGAGGAAGTGGCAGGATGTCTCCATACCAGCTCTGGTCTGAGGTCTGTTACAGATATTCATCTTCTTATACACTTACCCCCAGAATCAGTGGTTTATCTTACAGAGAGACAGGTCCTCCTATGCCCTCCTGGATGTACAGGGGATATACAGGGGATCTATCAGCAAGGTCACGCCATAAAAGCAGCTGCCTGACAGATGAAATGGTGGATGGACCCCCAGAGAGCGGAGTGAGCAGCAGCACTGACAGCAGTGTCCTTCAGCTAGCTGTAGCCACATCCTGTGATATCGGGGCACAGCGTGACCAGTGTTCATAGTGTCCCTTCTGCCTGGGGGTGGCATTGCCCCTAAAAATACTGCCAAAGGTAAACGTCCCTGTACTGACCAATCCACAAACACAGGCAGGAGGTGGAGGAGGTAGGAATCTCTGTGAGGGTGTCTTTGATTAACCGCTTTCCTGCTGCTATATACTGCTACAGGGTGGCAGCGGTGCGCAAAATAGCGTGTATATATATATATATATATATATATATATATATGTGATTTTGCATTACCTGCACCCCTACTAATGGTCTTGGCTGTCAATCACTGGGTCCAGGCCGGTGATTACTCGCTGGCAACCGGTGATCGAGGAGCATTACCAATGGAGGGAGAGGACTGTAAGTAAACAATACAGTTCTCTCCCCTGTCAGCTCCTGCTATACATGACTTTGCATAGCAGAGCCATGCAAGCAGTGTGCTTACATTGAAGCACACACAGACATAGCAGTTAGTAACACAGCACACAGTTCACCCTTTGATTGCCCCACGTTAACCCCTTCCTGCCCATTGCCATTAGTACAGTGTCAATGCTTTTCATTAGCACTGATCACTGTATTTGGTTTCCATTCATGACAGCTTGCTTACTATTGTGATGCTGTGATTGGCCCACAGTTATCACATGGTATCACATGAATGAAAGCCATTCATGACAGTCAAAATTATTGCTTATAACAGTGATCATTATTGTTATAAGCAATAATGGTGTAAAAAAAATCCCTGCTCACCCCTCCAGAGTAGTACAGTGTCACTATAGTAACTGTCAGCAAGTGCAACGGCGCACGGATCTGCGCATGCGCAGAACGCCAATGCACCCTAATCCGCTGGTGCTAGGACTTGGGCGGGCGGCCGCGCATGTGCACTCGCGTTCGCGGATGCGCGCCTGGCACCAATGATGGCGCGGGGCGCCCTATTTAAACCAGCAATGCACAGACACTAGTTGCTGATATCTGCTGATTGACTTGTTGCCGACCCTGCTTGATCCTGACCTCTGCTGACTATCTCCTGCTCTGACCCCTGGCTCATTTGACTACTCTCTTGGATATTTCTATTGATCTGAACTCCTGTTACCGAACCCGGCGAGTGACCTGACTACTCTTTGCCTGGTGCCTTATAGTGCGCTGACCCCTCTGTTACCGAACTGGCCCGTCTGACCATGCTTACTCTGCCATCCATCCGGCCTGCACAGATCTGGTTATCACTGCTCAGGCCTTTCCGCCTCTTCACGTCAGGCTCTCTACCAAGTATATACCTCTGGCGGATCCCTCTACCATTGGCATGTGTACTCAGGGTCGCGACCTGGTCACTGTCTGCTCCAAGTCTATCCCCACCATCAGGGGCTCTGGTGAACAAGCAGACTGGGGCTTAGACTCCGCGCTCTGGGGAATCCTGTCCTGTGGATTGCTAGAGGTAACGTCAGACGGTATCTGACAGTAACACTGAACTACTCTGATGACAGTATGTAAAAATACAGTTAAAAGAGAGAAAATGTTAAAAAATAGAAAAAAGTTTAACAAAAAATATTTTAGTATTTTATTTTTTTTTTTTAACATACTGTCACCAGTCAGTATCCCTTATCATTGTCACACCAATAATATAATGATGCTGTACTGCATGGGTGACAGTATGTTTAATATAAATAAATACATAAATAAATAATTTCTTCATTTTCCAAAAAATAGGGATACAATATCACTACAAAACTAGTTATGCCTCTTACGGCACTGGGGTACAATCCAGCTTCAGCAACATGTAAAATAAAATGCTTTCAACAGAATCTTCCTCTGGAAGGAAATCTACTTCAAACATAGATCATTGTAAAAAAATAATTAGTCTAATTTGTTAAAAATGTACAAAAAAGTAAGTAGCAGTTGAACTTGTTTTTTTTTTTTTTTTTTTTTTAGATGTTTATTGAGTTTTAGCATAAACTGTACAGAAACATTGTACAAAAAAATGTACAGAAAAAAAAACCCAATACCTAAAATACAAAGAAAATAATAGACAATTAAGCCATCTCACAATGTCTCACGTCTTTTTTAGAAAAGCACATAACGAACAGAAGATGAGAGCTCCACCATAAGGTATACAACAACCATGAACATGGAAAGATCACCTCGGTATGTTGGATCTAAAGAGGACAAAGTAAGAGGATTAGAAAGCCATCTGCCGCACATTTTACGAAACACTGTAGGTTTTTTCCTAAGCTCAAAAGTGAGTTTATATAAGGGGAGGGTTTCATGAAAAAGTTTAAGCCAGTAGGCTAATGTAGGTAAAATCGTCCCTTTCCAGGACAATAAAAGTATTTTCTTTTTTGGGATGTAAAATATTAGGCAAGCCCAATGTAGAAGAAATAAAAGAACCTACTTCCCAAAATCCCTGGACTATTGGGCAGGTTCAGAAACAATGTAGGAAATCAGCAACCTGGCCACAGCCACTGAAACAGTCTACTGAGCGTCGTAAACCCATTTTGTGTAATCGAGCAGGAGTGAGGTGAGAGTTATGAAAACGTTTAAGGTGTATAAATCTATCCTTAAAAGAAATGATAGGATTTTTATAGGTGTCACTAAATTCAGACCAGTCCGTATCTTCAAATGGTATGTCCAATGAAGCCGTTTTGTTAGGCCGAAAAGGTATTTTTTTGTTCTCTGAAGCCTTGTTATTTGGGCCATGAAGGTCATTTGTGTTTCTCTCCCTTTCATTTCTACAGGCTATGGACTCTAATGCTACAGCCATAAAAGGCTGAATGTTTATATCCATGTTTATGTTTTATTATGAAGCATTTTGTATATGATTTAGGCCAGAGGAATGGTGTTGTTGTATTTATTTATTTATTGTTGCTTTTATTTTTTGTAATTTTGTAAAAAAAAGCTTTTTGTTTGCTAGTCGCAAGTTCTCTTGAAATAAAAAAACATTTTCCAATGAAACCGTTTTGCCTGAGCAGCTAAGAACTTTGGATTGGAGTCTATTACAAGGGCAGAGTAGTAGGTAGAGATAAGTTTAGCAGAGTCAGGCTGTCTTCTATGGATGTCACTTCTGTGGGATTGTCCAGGAACGCAAATTTTGCAGATTGCATGGCGGAGTTGATAATAGTAAAGTAAATAATGGAATGGTAAATTAAAGTTCGCCTGCAGCTGTTGAAAAGACTTACAGCCTTGTGCATTAAAAAGATGGCATAAATATTTAACCCCACGGGAAGACCAACGTTTGCACTTTCAGTGCTACTATGTCTGCTGTGCTCTGATGGGAAATACTGTAGTTTGTCTTGTCTTGTTTTACAAAAGCACATACCAATGATTTGTTCTAACTCATGAGAACCTACAGTATTGACTAATATACAGATAAGGATGTCATGCAAAATATCTGAGTGGCTTGGAAAAATGCTGTAAGATAAGTTTTATTTTTAGTGCAACAATTTACCAAGAATAGAAAAGATATGCTGTAGAATTATAGCTAGAAATGTCTAAAAATTAGGATGGAAAATACTTAGCATATTTCTTGTTTTCACATGAGCACTAAGACACACCTGATCTAATTGATAAAGTACAATAGTGATGGGCCGGACACCCCCCTGTTCAATTCGCGGTCGAACATTTGAACATAAGGAAAGCTCGACCATGAAATTCAGAGGGGACAATTCACTAAGCCGCATCTTACCGCATCTGAGTATGTGGTAAGATACCGCACAGCTACTAAAAACATTCTTTATTTTTTCAGCTGTCAGCGGGGTTCCCTATATGAGTGAGAATGGGGTACATGGTACAAAAAAGAAGTGTAGTGGAAAAATGACAGGAGACAGTCTTTATTAAAAACAAAAATGTAAAAAATGTCCCCTTAAGTACATCCAATGTCAATCACGATACCCGCTGCCACCACAGACCTGAAAAACAAAAAACAAAATGCGCTACGTTCAATGACGGCTCCCGCCGTCTGACAGCTGCGCCGGGATAACCATTCTTAAATAGTGTGATGTCACAAGGGGTGGGGTCACCCCTGCCCCCTTGTGATATCGTTATGCGCTGTGGTTGGTCAAAGTATTGCACCTGACCACAGGTCAGGTGCATTGCTTTGGCCAATCACAATGCACTGTCATGTCAGGGTACAGTGCTTTGGGAGGCGCAGTGGGAGAAGGGCCCACAGAATGCCCTTGCTGTTCATGTGTTTGCTGAACAGACGACCAACTGATATTCGAATCGAACTAACGTTCGACTTGAACATACAGCCCATCACTAAAGTACAATAGCCATCGTAGCCAATTTGATTATACCTTGTACTTGTTCTACTTGAGTTATCTACGATTGGCTGCTATGGATTTCCATATTGCTA